TAACAGATTAAATGTTGTATTGAGGCTGTCATTTTTAGCATCTACATGGATGTTAAAATCACCCACAATAATTATTTTATCAGAGCTGAATACTAAATCAGATAAAAACTCTGAGTAAGGCCCAGGTGGATGATAGATGATAACAAGACCGGTTTCTGAGTCCTGCCTTCAAATGAATTAAAACTGCAGCCTTACAGATGAGATTTACCAGAAACAGTTATTAAAAACATAAGAATTACTGCATAATATACAATTAATGCATAATATAAAATAAATCTTTCAATGGTGCTGAGGGTCTGTTGAGCAAAGGAGGGGCCTCATAAACCAGCAAACTATATACAGGAAGTGCTGAGTGGATGATACCAAATGTCAAAAAATTATAGGGTAGTTTATTTTCTTTCACGTTTAAGAAAGATGTTTGTTTTTTTACTGTAACTTTGTATTTAATTACATCGGAGTGTTTTATGTTTTTTTTTTTCATTTTCATAGAGTATTTTTCATAATCGTCATTATTAATGTGAGAAGATGTTATTGTTTGTTATGAACTCACAGACATTTGGTTTCTTGTGTTTTTCACAGTTTAGCCATTGAACTGAGTTCCTGCAGGTTCCACAAACAAAAACACGTTCTGATAATAACTGAACATAATGTGTGAGAGAAAGCAGCCTCTCATTATGAGACACTGTGAGTCTCTGCATGCTGCCTTTATGTAGCTACAGCTGTTTGTATACACTGAACTAAAAGCTTTGTAGCTGTATACTGACTCCTGAAACTACAACACATCACACTTCTCTGTCTCTGTGAGATCTGATCACACCGACATGTTAGGTCCACACAGACTCCACCCAGCCTCGTGTCTCCTTCACAAACACGGAAAAACTGAATCAATATGAAAATAACTCTTCAGGAAATGTTGTTAACATGTAAACAGACTGATGCTTTTCCTCTCTGTCCCACAGAGTGAATCTCACCTGCAGAGACAAACACAAAGAGGCCGACAAACAGCAAAGTCGAGCAGAGCGACGCAGTCACAGCAGACATTTCCGTGTTCTTCAACTCCGACGCTTCGACTGTTCTCAATGTCTCAGGATGGTTTTATTGAAATAACTGAACCTGAGTTCAAATCCTGACTACATGAGATTAAATTTAAGGTTTAAATGATCCTGAAAGTCTCTGACTGAGAACAGATCTGACTTTTTAGACACTCGTTCAAACTCAATACGTCCAACTCATCGTCTCTGCAGGAAGTCACGTCAGAGTCACGTGTGTTTACGCTGCTGTAGGGTGACCATAAATAAGTGCGTCATAACTAAAGCGGTGAAATCTAAAGCAGGTCTGAGTGTTTAACAGGTTCAGTTCTTGAACGATCTCCACAGAACAACACAAACATCTCATCATCAACCATCAGCTACGTACTAAAGACCCTCATCATCCAAAGGACTTCAAAATGACGTCACTGTAAACATGTATATTGTACTATGGAGGAGGCAGCATTTAGCTGCAGCCTCCATCAAACCACAGAGAACTTTGTCCACCTTTGATTGTCTTTAAGTTGTGTTGGAGCCACAGAGAGCAAATCTTTGTTCTTTATGGAGAAGCAGTGAGGCTGTTTGGACTTTCCTATGAAACATCAGTGCAGGAGTCTCTCAGTACATCTGTTTACAGTGAGGACGAAGAAGCAGCAGACACAGAGAAAACATACATGACTGTAATCAGAGTACAGGAGAGTAACTGAGTACACTTCCTGTTTGTGATTCAGGTGATTTTCTTCTTTATCTTGTGTCAGATAAAGTCTGACAGCTTTTGGTTCTTCAGATGATGAAACACATTGAATTCATTTAATTTGATGTGTTTTCACAGACGAAACCAGCCAACAGTGAATCAAATGTTTTACACTAACGTGACATGACGTTCATCTAACCAGCAGAACCAGTGAGTGGTTACAGTAACGGGTTAATCCACTAAAACTCACAGGCTTCAGTCAGCCTGTCAAATTACTTAAAAAACTGAAAGACGTCATTTTAAACACTTATTGTTTTTCTGAAACACTCAAACACTCTTCTGATCATCAGAGTGGAAAAAGTAAAATGATCTCCTGACAGATAAAAAAAACTGTGAGGTCAGTGTGTCCCATCGGTTTTTCAGTAGGTGAAAAGGAAGCTACTGAAGTTTTGTTACAAACAAGTGAAAAGTTACTCAGATGTAAATATTTGACAAATAAAAAAAAATCAAATCATGAAAAATGTAAAAGTTTAAAATCCCAAAGTAAAGGTGTGTCTGTATCAAACAGCTGCAGACTAAACTAACCTGTGTTTCCCTGTCAGCTGTTTTATATCAGACATCTGTGACCTGCGTCAACACTTTCACACCCACCTTTGTTTGTCCTGTTTGAGCAGCTGCAAGTCCAGACATGTGACAAACAAATACCTCAAATTCAAAGGATAAGAGAGAAGTATAAGAATGAGAACCTTTTTCCACTAACACTGGTAGATATAAAGAGAAATTCCCACTCCACACTGTCTGTGAAATTACAGAAACTTGGTAAAATTATTACAAGCTCATGAACACTTACTGTTGTTCTGAAGGATCTCTGAAACCCTCAAAACTCTTCTGATCATCAGGATGGAAAAATTAAAATTATCCAGTGAAAGATATTTTTTAAACTGTTAGGTCCTGTTGTTGTTATTTGTGAGGTCAAGAGGAACTTCCTTAAAATTTTATCCTCACAATCAAAAAAGTTTAAAGAATTAAAATTCTGAAAGTAAAGAGACCTCTGTATCAAACAGCCACCAACGAGGAAATGCACCTGTGTTTGCTTGTTAACCTGTTTTACAAGACAAATCTGTGTCAGCAGCATCACCATAACATTCAAATCCTCCTTCTTCTTATTGGCTGTTAGCTCGTGTGTTTGACATTGAAAGCTCTTTCAGTGATCTGAGTTTGATCCAAACAAAAGAACTGGAAACGACAGCCATACACAGCCCAGCAGCTGCTGTCAGCACATATTAATGATGATGATGAATTTTACTGTCAGGTCTCACAGACGCTCAGCAGTGAAGGTTTTAGTAGATATGGCTTTTAAAAGTCAAAGCTGTGTGTTCAGCAGAAGTGTGTGGGTGGCAAAGATGCCTGTTTGTGTCTCTGTCAGTATTCTGGACAAACTGGCTCAGCAGTGAGTGTCAGCACATGTTGCTCAGTACAGTTTCGTTTCTTGTCTTACCTGTTGTTTCTGTTCATGAACTGATTAAGTCATTTCATTCTAATCTCAGTGCAGCAAAAAGTCAAAGTCAAAGTTGTTTAAATGGCACATTTAAAAAAAGATGTTTTGACCAAGGTGCTGTACAATTAAGATAATCAAAAGAAATATAAACATAAGAAGACATGATAAAAACTTCTTGGATGTTGTAGTTTCTGTGTTTTTGAGTCCATCGGGGTCTGCTTGGGTCCAAATCCAGGGACAAAGAGCAGAGTCCAGTGATCAGACTGATTCTCTCTGTCTCTACAAATAGTTTAAACAACTGGAGGAAAATAAGCAGCTCTGTGTTATTTATATGCAGCTTTTATTTCTACACACGTCACTGAACTGTGTCAAAGTGCTGTTATTGGAACCTGTACTTCCTTCAGAATTTTCATATTAGGATTTTGGACCTTTCCATCATAACTGTCATAACTGGATAACATCTGTGTGGATAACACTACACCCACCAGGACTGTGCGCTGTTTCTCCAAACCCTGGATTACCCCAGAAATTAAAGCCGTCCTCAAACAAAAGAGGAGAGCCTTCAAATCCAGAGACAAGGAGGAGCTGAAAAGAGTGCAGAGAGAGCTGAGAGGTCTGATCGGGGCAGCTACAGGCAGAAGACGGAGAAACGGCTTCAACAAGAGAATGTTAGCAAAGTCTGGAGAGGCCTCAGAACCATCTCAGGCCACAGAGATCAGAACTCACTGCTCATGGGAGATGTGAGGGGGGCAAATGAACTGAATCATTTCTTTAACAGGTTTGATTCTTCCAGGAGGCAGTCTTCAACACCGGCTGCAGACTCACCCACACCCACTGCTGCCCCACCTCAGACACTTCACACCAGTGCCAAAGACTTCACACCCCGAGGACCTCAACAGCTACAGGCCGGTGGCTCTGACATCCCACCAGATGAAGACCCAGGAGCGGTTGGTCCTGGCTCAGCTTCAGCACCTGGTGAGCTCATCACTGGACCCACTTCAGTTTGCCTACCAACCTGGTATCGGAGCGGATGATGCCGTCATTCACCTCCTACATCGTTCCGTCTCTCACCTGGAGACCGCTGGGAGCACTGTGAGAATCATGTTCTTTGATTTCTCCAGTGCCTTCAACACTATTCTTCCC